GTAGTAGTAGTAGTAGTAGTTAGTAGTAGTAGTAGTAGTAGTTAGTAGTAGTAGTAGTAGTAGTAGTAGTAGTAGTAGTAGTAGTAGTAGTAGTAGTAGTAGTAGTAGTAGTAGTAGTAGTAGTAGTAGTAGTAGTAGTAGTAGTAGTAGTAGTATCAGTCGGAGGAGGAGGAAGAGGAGGAAGAGGAGGGGGATGAGGAGGAGGTGCAGGAGTGGACGAGAGGAGGAGAGCTGGATTAGGATGAGGAAGAGAGGTGAGGGAGGGGGGAAGGGGGAGGAGGGAGGAAGGTGGGGGAGGAGGGAGGTGAGGTAGGGGGTGGGGGGCAGGAGGAGGAGGAGGAGGAGGAGGAGGAGGAGGAGGAGGAGGAGGAGGAGGAGATAGAAAAGGAGACGGAGGAAGAAGAGGAGGGGTTGGGAGAGCGCAGCCCGCGCGCAGGTTGGCCTGGCCGCCGAAGGCCAGCAGTGGACCCTCCGGAGACAGCTGTACCAGAGCCTGACCGCCGTCAGCCGCAACCAGGGCCAGCATCAGCCTCAGGGGCAGGGGCGCGGCTCCGAATGTTCTACCAGGGTGGGCACCCCCAGGCACCGATCGCCAGGATCGCTCTTAGCGGTCCTACTCGCCCTCAGCATGACTCGCTTACTGTTCTTCGCACGCGCGACGCGTCTGTGTGTGCGCGTCTGCCTGTGCGAGCGCGTGTGTGTGTGTGTGTGTGTGTGTGCGTGTGTGCCCATGATTTTGATTGTGTGTGTGGGCGTTTTTCCCTCTGCACGCGACTGCCACGTCCAATCCATCCACCTGCTACGCCAGGTGGATTTCGACTGAGCGTGTCTTGGCTTAATGCTTGCGAATGCGCCGCCATCTCGTCTCTGGAGGAAGACGTGTCTGTATAGATGTATGTATTTTCGTGTGTGTGTGTGTGTGTGTGTGTGTGTGTGAGTGTGATTGTGTGTGTGTGTGACTGCCCCTCCCCGCAAGTCCAACCCACGGCGCCAACCACCGACCCCGCGCAGACGCCTCACGCCCAGCGGTCCGTGCGACAGGAGAGGGAGGCGAAGGGGGTCCAGCGACAGCGCCGCGCAGGATGCCGGAGACCCCACCCGGGAGGCTGACCTCGCACACAGTAGCAACGCAGCCACTGCGCTCCCTGCAGCCAGTCAGAGCGGGACAGCCGGCACGGATGCCGCACCCGGAGAGCCGCGCCGCGTGGCCGAGCACGGTGTAATTGTGAAAGACGAGCCGGATTGGTCAAGAAACGAGGCCGAAGCTAACGCCGCAGCCCGCAGAGACACCCCGCTCCTGGACCCCGGCCTCCCGCTCAGGGCGCACGCAGGCAGCATGCCGGACCTGGCCCGCGGAGACTTCGTCGTGGCGCGTGGCGACTCCCCCACCGTGCCAATGGTGTGGACTCAACCAGCCCAGGCGGCGAGGAGGGCACCCTGCTCACACCTGCCACTGACCCAGGATCCCTTGCCGGCCCCGTCGAAGAGGTGCGCTATCCCGACGCTCCCGCCCTGCCCGGGGGGTCTAAAGCCTCCTCAGCTCGAGAGTCCGGAAGGCCTGGACGGTCGTCTGGGACGCAGCCGACACAGCGCACCGCGCGTGGGTCGTCAAGCGGGACGCGCCCTTCGGGACCGAGACTGGCCGTACTCTTGGACTGCCCTTGGACGACCACATTCCGGCCCAGCCGCGCGCCGCCAGGCTGCCCGGACCAAGCGCAGCGCCCCCGACAGCCAGCGCCAGGCGCGAAATCGACAGGCGCATGGACAGCATGCGGGACCCGGACTGGCCCGACGACCATGCTGACCGAGTCTGGCTCGACCTGGATGACAGGTTGTACCGCCTGCCACGGTCCCGCCTTGTGTAAGCGCATGCACACCCGAGGTGGCCTAGAGAGCTGGGGTGCCGCCGTCAAGCGTCTCCAGATCGAGGCTGGCGCTTACTTCGGCGAAGGTTGGAAGCGCGCATGCGACAAGGGTGACAACAAGGGCGTTGGCAAAGGGCGATACGACCCGCTTGCCAGCGAGGACTCCTGCCGAAAGTTCAAGGCCGATCTGTGGTATTGGAATTTCGAATCAAGAGTTACTGCTGATGGGAAGGTATTCTCGTGGACTTGGGTCAGGTCTGGCGCAACTGGCAGGCCGAGAACACGCGCGGGCAAGAGACGCGGGAGCGCGAGGCCGCCGAGCAAGGCAAAGGGCGCGATAAAGGCGGCAAGTCTGGCAAGCGCCGCTTGGGCATGGCCCGGGACGACGCCCCCAGCGCCCGCCCTCGGCGCTAAACACTTGCTGCAGCCACCACCACCACCACCTGGCTGCACTTGGCACCTCTACGGGGCGTGCTGCCCGCGGGCACCGCGCCACTCCACGCATGGCCATCCTCCCTCCTCTCCTCCTTGCGACGTACCTTCCGTGTGGGACGCGAGTCGTGCGCGCGTTGTCCCCTGCGTCACTTCGGTGCTTCCCTGCTGCGCGCGCGCTGGGCCGCCCATTTGGTCACCCAGCGTCGTTGCCTGGCTTCTGCGCCTCCCAGTGCTCCCCGCCGCCGCCCCCTCGCGACGTGCTTCCAGTGTGGGGCGCGCGTCGCTCACTCCCTGTCCCCTGCGCCATTTCGGCGCTTCTCTGCTGCTGCGCCCCGCGGTGCCGACCACTGGGCCGCCCAGCGTCGTTGCCCGGTTTTCGCAACCTTCAGTGCTCCTCGCCGCCGCCTTCCGCGACGTACCTCCCGCGTGGAACGCGCGTCGCTCACTCGCTGTCCCCTGCGCCACTTCGGTGCTTCCCCGACGCTCCACGCTGGACTGCCTAGCGTCGTTACCCGGCCTCTGCACCTCTCGGCGCTACCCGCCGCCGCCCCCTCGCGACGTGCCTCCCGTGTGGGGCGCGCGTCGCTCACTCCCTGCCCCCTGCGCCATTTCGGCGCTCCTCTGCTGCGCCACTCTGTGCCGCCCTCTGGGCCGCCCAGTGTCGTTGCCCGGCTTCTGCACCTTTTGGTGCTCCCCGCCGCCGCCCCTCTTGACGTATCTCCCGTGTGGGACTCGCGTCGCTCACTCGCTGTCCCCTGCGCCACTTCGGTGCTTTTCCGACGCTCCACGCTGGACCGCCCAGTGGGCCGCCCCGCGTTGCTACCTGGCTTCCGCACCCTTCGGTGCTCCCTTCCTTCCGCGGCGGCCCCGCGCCGCCTCCTCCCGTTGCGATGCTGCTCCGCCCCGCTGCCTGCGGGCGCCCGGGACGCTGTTGCCCGCCGCCACCTGCCCCTCCCCTCTCTGCCCTGTGGCCCCCTGGCGCGGCCCTGGGCGGTCGCCGCCACTCCCCTTTCTCTGCCAGCCATCTGGCTGCGTTGCCACTTCCGGCTGCCCCGCGCTTCCTCCCCGCGTTGATGTTCCGCCCCGCCACCTACGGGCGCCTGGGACGCTTCGCCCGCTGCCTCCCGCCCCACCTCTCCCCGCCCCCCCGCCGCCTGCCATCGGGCGGTCACGCCGCAGTATCCCTGTCGCTGCCAGCGATATGGCCGCTGCTCCCGCCCCCGTGCGGCTCAGTGCTGTGCCTTCTCCGCGGTGCGTCGCGGTACGTCGCTCGCAGTGTTCTACCTGTGCTCCCCGCCAGCCACAGCCGCAGGTTGCCGCTCCCCGCTGCCCGTGCCACCGTGGTTCGCCACGGCCGCCCACCGCGCTCTGGCCCTGCGCGCCTGGCTGCTGCTGCCCCCAGGCTGCTCATCGTCGAATTCTCTTCGGCGTCTGAGCGTCCCTTCTTCCTCTCGGCCGTCCCCCCTTCCCTCTTTTCTCGCCAGCCAATTCGCTAGTTGGTGCCCCATATCTAGCTTCTCGCTGGAGCGGAGTTCGCCGCCTCGCCGATGAGCGAAAAGAAAATGTGTGTGTGTGTGAGTGTGAGTGTGAGTGTGTGTGTGTGTGTGTGTGTGTGTGTGTGTATGTGTCCGCAGCCCCAGCGCCCCTGCGCCGCTCCTGGCCACTGCCCCGTGAGGGGGTGGCCGCCTCTTTCTTTTCTTCCTTCTCTCTGGTTATTGGGCGCGCGCGGTTCTCCGTGAGCGGGCTGGACGGCGTAGCGCTGCGCCCGCCCGCGACGGCCGAAAACTGTGTGTGTGTGGCTGTGTGCGCACGCGCGCGCACGTGCAGGGTCTTGCGTTTTTCAGCTGTTATTGTTTGTTTCCTCCTCCTCCTCCTCCTTCTCCTCGACCTCCTCCTCCTCCTTCTCCTCGACCTCCTCCTCCTCCTCCTCCTCCTCCTCGACCTCCTCCTCCTCCTCCTGCTCCCCGTCGGGCCTCCTGCCGTAGCCCCAGACCCCATCTCTCTCTGCGCCACTTCTCGAGCCGCATCGATCTGCGAGGGCCCCCGGGGCCCGAAGCTGGGCGAGCACGCCCACCGCGAGAGAACTGCAGCGCCGGGCTCTCGGGGCAGCCCCACCGGCCGAGGTACCAGCCCGCCGCCGAAGCCGCCTCCAGAGCCCAGCCGTCCGCCGCGGCCCAGCCCTCGGCCGCGGCCCAGCCTGCCGGCGCGGCCCAGCACGCCGCCGCGGCGCAGCCCGCCGTTGGCGCGGACGTGCTGGGCGCAGGGGTGCAGCTGGACAAGGGCAAGACCCGGGACCAGGTCTCGGCCGCGGTGATGGCCGAGGAGCGCCGGCGGCAGCTCCTGGACATGGTGGCGGGGGGGGCATTCGGTAGCAGATCACAGGAGCCTTGTGCATGTGCCTTGGCAGATGCCGTCCGTGGAGTGCGTTGCAGTGGAAGCCCATGCCAAGAAGCACCTTGCTCGCCTCCAGGGTGCCTTGGGTTTCTTGGGTTCCGATGGTTTTGCTGTGGAAAGCGTGGCGTCCCCACACCGAAAGTCAATGGAGGTCCTGGGGTCTCAGGGTTGGGTTTCTGGGGGAAGGTTTCTGTAGTGTCGACTGGCGTCTAGTAGTCGATGACATAGCGCCGATTCAGCTTTTCGGTTGGCGTCGATGAGCGTTGATGTAGCGTCGATTCAGCGTCGACTGGCGTCGATTCGCAAGGGGCAGCGACAAGGTGTGGGAGGCTCCCATGGTTTGCCGCAGAAGGGGGCAAGAACCGACATCGCCGTGGAGGAGAACGAGGGTCCCGAGGGAGGCGGGTCCTTTGGCCCAGGGGACCAGCTCCCCATCCTGACCTGCTCTGTCTGACGGCCCTGGTGCCCTTGGGGGGCCCAGCGCCTGGTGGAGGGTTTCTCCGAAGGGCGTAGGCGACCCGCGACCCGTCCTCCTCCTCCCTCCTCCTCCCCTCCTCCTCCTCCGCCCTCTCTCCCTCCCATCCTCATCCTCCTTCCTCCTCCTCCTCCTCCTCCCCTCTACTCCTCCTCCCCTCCTCCTCCTCCTCCTCCTCCTCCTCCTCCCCTCCTCTCCCCTCCTCTCTCCTCCTCCTCCTCCTCCTCCTCCTCCTCCTCCTCCTCTTCCTCCTCCTTGGGTCGCCTACAGCTCCGGGGGAAACCGTGCAGGGCGTGGCAGACGGCGAAGAAGTTCCTGGACCCCTCGGCTTCAGGACTCGCTTCTTTCGTATACGGATCGTCAGGGCATGTTTTCCCTCCAGCTGCCTGCGGCAAGTCCCACCGCCGGACCTAGGTTGTGGGTCATGAGCTTCGTTGATGTTCGCTGGAATCTCGTGGGAATTCTCTCGGGGGTCGCCTGGAGGCAGTCTGGAGGCCTCTCGGGGGCCGTTCTGGGGCCTCTGGGGGGCCTCTTGGGGCCTCTTTGGGGACCCTTTGTGGGCCTCTCGGGCTTGTCTTCTGTGCCTGACCCTGGGCGGAAGCAGTACTCCTCGGAGGCCCGCGCGGATTTCATCTTGGGTCGGCGCCAGACCTCCCTCCGCTGGCGCGCCCCGGCGCGCCCCGCACGGCGCCCCAAGAGGAAAGAGGAGGAGGAGGAGGAGGAGGAGGAGGAGGAGGAGGAGGAGGAGGAGGAGGAGGAGAGGAGGAGAGGGGGAGGAGGAGGAGGGGAGAAGGAGGAGGAGGAGGAGGAGGTGGAGGAGGAGGAGGAGGAGGAGGGGGGAGGAGGAGGTGGAGGAGGAGGAGGAGGGAGGAGGAGGAGGAGGAAGGAGGAGGAGGAGGAAGAAGAAGAAGAAGAAGAAGAAAAAGAAGATGACGAGGAGGTACAGGTCTTCGTCCTCCTAGCGGATTCAACGTCTCGACTGTGGACTCCCGCAGGTCCGCTCGGATTGCTTGGGCTGGCGCTGGATCCCCCCCTCCCCCTACGGGGCCCCAAAATATACACCACCACCACCACCACCACCACCACCACCACCCCACCACCACCACCACCACCACCACCACCACCACCACCACCACCACCACCACCACCACCACCACCACCACCACCACCACCACCCCACCACCACCACCACCACCACCACCACCACCACCACCACCACCACCACCACCACACCACCACCTCCCTCACCCCCTCCCCCTCCCAGGAGCGAGGAGAGGAAGAGGAGGGTAGAGGAGGGAGGGGGAATCGACGTGGTGGTGGCGGTGTACATTCTTGGGGCCCCCTACCTTCCAGGAGAGGGCCCCCCACCTCCCTTACCTCCCTCACGCCCTCCCCCTCCCAGGAAAGAGGAACTGCACGCAAGAGTGACCCTAGGTAAGAGTGAACGGTATAACATAAACTTGCGTCAAGTTGTTCGCCGTCGGGCACGCTTGTCCCGGGGCGGCTGGAAAGTAGATGCTCCTGCGGTGGCACGTCAGGGTATAAACGTTCCAGCCGCCCTGGGACAGGCGCCCCCCAGCGGCGGAAAAGTTCATCTTCTACCGAGGAGGAGGACGAGGAGGGAGGACGAGGAGGAGGAGGAGGAGGAGGAGGAGGAGGAGGAGGAGGAGAGAGGAGGAGGAGGAGGAGAGGAGGAGGAAGAGGGGAGAGGACGAGGAGGGAGGACGGGAGGAGGAGGAGGAGAAGGAGGAGGAGGAGATGAGGGAGGAGGCGGGAGGAGGAGGAGGAGGAGGAGGAGGAGGAGGAGGAGGTGGAGGAGGAGGAGGAGGAGGAGGAGGAGGAGGAGGAGCGCGCCTGGGATGCGGGCCCAAAACGTTACCACCACCACCACACCACCACACCACCACCACCACCACCACCACCACCACCACCACCACCACCACCACTCTCTCCTCCTACCCTCCTCTTCCTCCCAACCACCATTAAGTGATTTTTTCGGGAGGGCCCCTCGGGGAGAACCCAACGACCTCGACACGACCCCTACGGTTGTGGTTGTGGTCGGTTTGGCCGTCTTGGGACGCCACATCGACCACAACCAGTACGAAGCTTTTCCGGTGTCCCAATAATTTTTGCATGCGCAAGACATTCGCCAGGGTGTGTCTTCGATGTGGTTGTGGCCGCGTGCTGTCTCCGCATTGAAGTAAACACAGCCTTGAATGCCGGAGGGGCTCTGGTCTTCAGGCCGCTCTTCAGATCTAGGTCGGGGAGCTTGGTTTCGTGACCGAGGCTCGCTGTGGCCAGAGAAGCCCCTCCGTTCCTTGTTCAGCATTCCTTGCAGTAGCACGATGGCTGTGTGTTCGTGCCGCCCTCTGCTTCCCCAGGAGCCAGGAGGGGCAACGAGAAGGGTTGATAGGCTCAATGGGGGGGTGCATCGACCCCCAATCCCCCATTGATCTCCGACAGGGGCCCGATAGCCCACCCCGCCCGTGAACGTGCGGTGTCGCTATCGGGAACCTAACGTTAAGTCGGGCCTGTCCCTCTACAGGATAGTCATCGCGTAGTCTGGGGACCATGTTTTGATCATTCTTAGATCATCATGAGTATGTTTTTGACTATTTTAAATTGTTCCTCCAAAATCCGCCTGTCGGGGGACATGCCCGACCTAAACCTAACGCCGATCTATCGGCGACGTATCGCCGATTCTGGCTCAACGTGGCCCCCCCCCTGAGCCAGTCCCCTCTTGTCGTTCCTCTTCGAGGTGGGGGTCCTGGCGGCGAAGAGTCCCTCCGTTCCTTCTGCGGCCTTCCCTGCAGTAGCACGATGGCCAGGAGCGAACGAAGGACGTACACGTACATGAATCCACGTTAGTTTCGAAAGTATGCCTTGCGCGAACGTTAGTACAGTGGCAGCGCGCATCAAGAAGCCATCTGCTTTTCGTCAGGGTAGCCTGGGTTTCTTCGCTCCACGTGCCGCGCGGTGGCTTCCCGCAGCCGGGGAAGGCGCTGCTGCGTTCAGGGTGCTCCGGGCTTCCCCTGAGGTGCACCTCGCGCGCGGCTTCACAGGCTTGGGTTTCTCGCGAGGGTCTCTTGCGGCCGCGCCCGCACTGTACACGTACACCAATCCACGTTGGTTTAGAAAGTGCGCGCTGCGCGAACGTCAGTATCACGCGGCTGGCCTCGCGGGCCGGGGGGCCGTATTCATGCACGTGGTCGGGCGCGTACGCCCTTGTGGGCTCCCTAGGCGTCTATGTCCTTGTGCCGCCGTTTGCTCCCTCAGGTGGGGATCCTGGCGGCGAAGAGCGAGCTGAGGTCGGTCCGAACGATGCCCCGGGAGCAGCTGGCTCAGAGGGGCAGGCTCGGGGGCCGCGGGCTGCTGACCGCCAACGATCAGGTCCTGCGCCTCGGAGGCGCTCCTGCCGGCGGCGGGCTGGGAGCGGGGAGGATGATGCTGCTGATGATAATGCTGATAATGCTGATGATGATGATGACGATGATGATGATGATGATGATGATGATGATGATGATGAGGATGATGATGATGCTGCTGATGCTGACGATGATGACGATGATGATGATGATGATGACGATGATGATGATGCTGATGATGATGCTGATGATGATGATGCTGATGATGCTGATGATGATACTGCTGCTGCTGATGATGATGATGTGCTGCTGGTGCTGCTGCTGCTGTTCTTGATTTATGATGATGATGATGATGATGATGATGATGATGATGATGATGATGATGATGATGATGATGATGATGATGATGATGATGATGATGATGATGATGATGATGAGGAGGAGGAGGAGGAGGAGGAGGAGGAGGAGGAGGAGGAGAAGGAGAAGGAGAAGGAGGAGGAGCACCTTTGCACTCCCGCCGCTGTGTCTAAGATATCCAAGCAAGCTGCAACTCTTTCGCCACCAACAGTAGCATCTTTTTGCACTTTGCAGCCATGCGTGGCAAGCGCCATTTTCGCACCCATGGACGGGGATGGCGGGGTATGGTGGTCGGGATGCGGGACCTCAACGAGCTGCCCTGGCGTTGTCTAGGGCGCTCTCAACCACAGTCCTACACCATCGCGTATTCGCTGCTCGTAGTTGCTTACTTAGACCGCCTGCTCGCCGCCGAACCTCGACCTCCTCACCTCGCAGCCAGGCGTGGCAGCGCCACCTTCGCGTTCTTGAGGGGTGGGCTACTTGGTTTTGGGGGGTGGGAGGCGGAACCAGCCGTCGGCCGTTATGGCGTTGGCCAGGGAGGTCACGGCAACGGCCTTTTTTTGTAGCATCTGCTGCAGCCACACCGCACCTCCTGCCCGCCACTGCCCCCGCCTTGCTTCCTTCAGCCCCTTGTTGCTGCATCTGCACCTCTCCACTTCACCTCCCCTGACTCCGAGTTAGTCGTCGCTGTCCTGCCGAGCCCGCGCCATTCTGCCGCAGCTGTAGGACAGGGAGGTGGCGACCTGCGCAGGCATGGCCGCCGCCGCGGAAGGCGCAAGGCTCCCCTGCGCCCAGTGGAGACCACCAGGCGGCCACCAGTGCCACTCGGGAAACATATGCCTGCCTCGGCGGGTCAGGGTTCCCGTGGTGGGACTGCGGACCGTCTGCGTGGGTGCCTATGGGCAGGGGGGGGCCCTGGCGCATTCCCCCTTTGGGCGACTGTGGCTGTGGTCACACTGCCTCTCGCCTGCCTGCCGCACCCGCGCCAGCGCAGCGCTGTGCCTTCCCCCCCTCCCTTCTCTCTCTTTCACTCTCTCTCTCTCTCTCTCTCTCTCCTCTCACATTCATAACGTGTGCTTTTCTGCCGTTCTCTCCCCTCCCCCAGGGTGCGGAGGGACCAATGTACCTCGCCCCTGGGGGGGCTCTGTCGGTCGCATCATCCTTTTACCGCAGTGTCTAATTGAACCCGGTCCCCCCCAGAGTCGTCTGACTTATGGGGGGTGGGGGATGGCGGCGCCCGAACGACCTTAGCGTCATTAGCTCTAAGGAGGTTTTTCTAATGCGTGCGGTCTTGATTGACCAACACCGCGATGACAAGAAAACCGACCAGGAGGGCGCACTCTGAACAACCACCACCACCTGGACCGTTGCCACATATAATGGTGGGGATGGGGCGGAGGCGGGTCTGCGAAGCGGCGCTGCGCCGCTGCCCGCGTTAGGGCAACCGTGGACGGGCACTAGGAACAGCGAGTCCCTTCCGAACCCGGGCTGTTGCTTTTGCCAGCGTGCGGCAGATGCCGCATGCTGCGGCGACGGTGGGGGGCAAGGGCACGTGCCGAGACGCACGCGTCCAAAGCACAGGGGCGCCCCATGCCCGAAAGCGGGTGGGCCGCTCGGCGCGCGGCACGGCTCTCGGCATGACTCGTGGAGCTGCACGTTGCACGGCGCGCCATGAGCCCGTGCATGCCAGACCGTAAGGTCGGCGGGCGCTGGGCTCCTTGAGATCGCACTGGGCAACTGGAGCCCGAGGCACGCCCCCGCGAGGGTGGGCCAACGGCCCCATCTGGCCTCAAGGGGATTCGGCTTGGGCCGGCTGGAAGTTTGGCAGAACCGTTAGCGGGTGGACGGGCGACGGCGGGAGGAATGTGCTTGGATTCCGCCACCCTAAGCCCTCCCACCCGACACTTCGTGCCCAGGGTCTCCGACAAGGTGGTGCACAGGAGGGACGGCAGCACGGGGGAGGGGGGGGAAGGAAAGAGGAGAAGGAGGTGGTGAGACGGTGGCATGAGCGCGGACGCTGTGCTTTGTCGGAAAGGCTTCGCTCAACAGGTTTGAACCGATGGTGGGCAAAATTGTCCAGCCTAGCACCGAGCATGGAAGTATCCACAGGGTCGGCGCCTGTCACCACCCACCAAACCACCCCAACCCAACCCGAAGGCCTCAATTTGACCTCCATTTCCAGTGGGGGGTTCGGGGAACATTGAGAAAACACGCATGGAACCCGTACCCCCCCCAACCCGAATTTCATGTCTTCGGGTTGGGTTGGGGTGGTCTGGTAGGTGGTCAGCCTGAGCAGGGAGCCTGGGACGAGCCAGGGCGCCCGGGGTACTCTTGGCATCGCTCGGACGCGCGCAGTCTTTCTCGGCGAGCACCATCGAGGATCATCCTGGAGCATTTCGCGAAACGGGGACGCACGAAGCCTAACAGTGCACAGGGAATGGAGGTCCGAGCGATGACGAGAGGGGGTGGTGTGCTGCCTGGGAGCGTGTGGATAGCATGGCGGAGGCCATGATATCTCCTAGACCTCATGCCTCCCTCGTTTTCTTTCAGTATGGTCGGGCCGAGGCACAAGATCGAGGTCGGTTCGGGGAGGGTGCCCTGATGTTCTCAGCGTTTGTTGGATGTTGCCTGCTGCCACGGTCACCGCTGCCTTGGTTGGCCGCTCCGGCCTGCTCGACGCGGAACCCTTCCACGTGTGAGCGTTTTCCCTCCCCCCTCCCCCCGCACGGCCGCCCTCGTCTTCTTCCCCTCTTCTTGCACGCCGGCCAATTCGCCTTTCGCTTGCCCCGAACAGCCGCACGCTGGAGCGGACCGCCGGTGCCTCGCCGCTCACGGAAGCAAGCATGCTGGATGCTCTGGTGCATCCTGGGGAGGGGTGCCCTCGAGTGACCTTCTGGTCTTGGCCGGCGAACAGCACATGCTGGATGCTCTGGTGCATCCTGGGGAAGGGTGCCCTCGAGTGACCTACTGGTCTTGGCCGGCGAAGAAGGGTGCTTGTGTGCACCCTGGGGAAGGGTGCCCTCGAGTGACCTTATGCTCTTGGCCGACGAACAACAAATTCTTGATGTTCTGGTGCATCCTGGGGGAAGGTGCCCTCGAGTGATCTTATGGTCTTGGAGAGCTGTGACAACCGACATACTCGGGGGTGGATAGGTCTCCTACCCTGACACGTCGATTAGCGAATTGGCCGTTTTCGGTTCGCGAGAGGGCGTCGCGGCCGTCATTTTTGCGTGGCCAGGTCCGTCGATTTCGGTCCCAGGCCGTTTCGAGGGTTGTCCACCGCCGATGTACGGTGGGGGCGTTGCTTCAGGAATGTGCCCATGAGCCTTCAGACCCTGGACCATTCTTTGTCGGACGAGGGCGGTGGTGATATCCATGGCCAGTCCTCGATTGAAGTCACCCCAGCGCCCAGACCCCGGACTCCTCATCCAGGGGTCCCTTTGTTCAATGCCCTCGCCGTACCTGCCCAGACGAGGCCCCGCGGTGCCAGTAAGAGAGCGCGCGCGGCCGCCGGGAGCGCGGAGGCCCGGGGCGACAGGACAGGCCGGGGCGGGGGAGGATGCAGCAGCAGGCGCGAGCAGCGGCACGCAGCCTTCCCTGCTCGTCTCCCCCCCTTGTCGTCGTCGTCGTCGTCGTCGTCGTCCTCCTCCTCCTCCTCCTCCTCCTCCTCTTCCCCCCTCCTCCCCCTCCTGTTTCTCATCCTCCTCCTCCTCCTCCTCCTCCTCCTCCTCCTCCTCCTCCTCCTCCTTCTTCTCCTCCTCCTCCCGCGCGCAGCTGCTGCGCCGCCTTCCAGAAATCATACTGCTGGTCATGCAGCTGACACCACGCACGAAGTTCAGGCTCGCCCATGGTGGCCAGGTCGGGCGGAGGCTGCGGCCTAGCGCCCACGGCGCCCACGCGGCCCCCGCCACCGGCAGCACGAGCATGTACATGTGCGGGAGCAGCTTGAGGTACTGCTCCCCCGCCTCCAGCAGGCTCGGCACCAGGCGCGGCTGCTGCGGGTTCGCGACGACGCGCGGCAGCGGCCTCCTCGGCCACGCGCCGCTCCTCCTGCCTGCGCTCCTCACGACAGGCGTCGGGGGAGAACAGCTGCTTGGCCTCTTGAGCAGCTCGCGCCTCCTGCTGGCACCCGGCAAGGCTTGCCACGGCGGCCGCGTGAGCAGCCTCCGCCTGCTGAAGAGCATCTCGATACCTGGCCACGCCCGCCAAGCGGGCCTCCACTCCCGTCTGGGCCATGCGCTCTGCCGGCGCCGCCCTCTCGACTTCCCTGGCCAGCTCCGTCTGGCGAGCCGCCACCTTCCTGTCCATCTCGCTGGCGCTGGCGGGCTCTGGCGGCGGCGCCGCCTGAGCACCCACGGCGGCAGCCTCGGCAATGGCTGCTCGGAGGGTAGCAGCCATCGCGGGGTGCTGGGCGGCCAGGGCACTGAGCTACTGCGCGAGGTCCGCAGCCTGCCCAGCCTGCAAACTGCCGCCTGCCGCCGCGGCCTGGCCTGCTCCTTTGCGACAGCTTCCTCCGCACTTCGAGCTGCGGCAATTGCCGTATCGATCGTACTCCCACTGGCCACAGGCAGCGCACACCGAGTACGCTCCACCTCCGCGTGGGCGACCTCCACCGCGAACGCCACGTTCACCATCATCGCGCTGGCCACGGCCAGCAGCACGCCATGGGGTACGATACCGCCAAGCCATCGCTCTCGACGCCTGACAGTGTGGGAACTGATGCTCCAGCAGGAGCTCACAAAACGGGGCTGTGGCCTCGGATCAGGGCAGACTGGTCGGGCCAGGAACCTACCGATAGCAAGCCGCGGACTAGCGGTATCCACGCGTTCCCTCATGGAACAAGGCATCTTGAGCCAAAATGACTACGGAGGAGGAGGAGGAGGAGGAGGAGGAGGAGGGCAGGAGGGGGAGGAGGGAGGAGGAGGAGGAGGAGGAGGAGGAGGAGGAGGAGGAGGAGGAGGAGGAGGAGGAGGAGGAGGAGGACGAGGAGGAGGAGGAGGAGGAGGGGAGGGGAGGAGGGCGCCGACAGGAGGATGCCCAAGAAGGGCACGCGGCAGTAGGGGGGTGGGGGGTGGGGTCCGCTGGGCCGCCGCCAAGCAGAGGCCGCCAGCTCCTGCAGCAGCAGGACCTTGCGGAGCAGCAGCAGCGGAGCTTGCACCGGCTGGTGGAGGAGCAGAGGGCCGTCGAGGCCGAGGAGCCCCCCAGCGGCCTCGACGGAGCAGAGAGGAGGAGGAGGGAGGAGGGATGAGGGAGGAGGAAGGAGGAGGAAGGATGAGGAAGGAGGAGGGGAGAGGATGGCGGAGGGAGGAGAAGGAGGGGGAGGAGGGAATACGGCGGAGGGGGGAGAGAGGAGGGAGGATAGGATCACCAGGTGCAGCTTGCACGATGCTCAAGAACAACGCTAACGTTGGAGGGCTGCCTTCATCTTACTGGTGTTTGGATGTTCCATATTTGCATGCTTGCTCGTTCTGGTACCTCTGTGGGGCATCTGGCCCCCGGAGAAGGGCTCCTGCTCTTCACCCACTCTGTCGTGGCCATGTTTCGACCGCGCGCTGCAGGCGTCATGGTGCCCGAGCCAGTTTTCAGGGATGGGGCGACCGTCGCCGGATGCCCTGGCGGTTTGCAGAAGATCAGGAGGGACAAACATACAGACACAATTCGTCGTCGATTCCCCAGAAAATATGGGAAACTATGGGCAGTGGGGGGGAAGACAAAAACCTAGAAAATATGGGGAAGTATGGGGAATCCTGTTATTTGTGTGTATTGATTTGTGTGTCCCAGGGCCCCTTCAGAAGAGGGGGGCGGCATGCAGTCGTTGGCCGACGAGGGAGGAGGGAGGAGGAGGATGAGGGCGGGGTGCCGGCGCGTGGGAATAAATCAGACAATGAAAAGGTCTGAGTACGAGCAGGTTTGAGTATGAGTAAGTCTGGGAACAAGTCTGAGTATTAGTTAGTCTGGGCATGAGTGAGTTTCAGCATGAGTAACTCTGAGTAGGATTAGGTCTGAGTATGAGTAGGCCTGATTCTGAGTAAGTTTGTGTCTGAGTAAGTCTGGGTATGAGTAAATCTGAGTGTGAGTAAGTCTGGGTATGAGGAGGAGAGGAGAGAAGGAGAAGAAGGAGGAGAAGTCGGCCGCGTCCAAGAATTAACAAGAACCCCATCTTAGGATATGGGGAAAACGCACTCGACATCGCCCCACCTACGGCCCTCCACGTTGCGCTACGGCCTCTCGGGCGCCGTAGCGTATACCACGCAAAAGCCCGCGCCAGATTTCCTGGTGTACGCTGAGCCCCCTGGGGCCGTAGGTGGGGTGGTCGCCTCGGCAAGCCACTCCTCTCGGCGGCGAGCGCCGGGGGGAAGTGAGCAGGAGAGGGCCTTCTCAGAAGGGGGCGGGACTTCTCAGAATCCCCCGCGCCTTCCGAGAGGTTTTGCTTGTGTCTCATCCAGGAAGGTTTAGAAGACTTCTCTCAGAAGGCTCGGGGATTCCCGAGCCTTCTGAGAAGGCCCGCCCCTTCTCTGATGGGCTTGCTTTCCACCGCCAGCACAAGTCGGAGGGGGAGGGGGTCCTGCTCCCCCTCGTCCTCCTCCTCCTCCTGCTCCTCCTCCTCATCCTCCACCTCCTGCCCCCCTCCAACTTACGGTGGTGGTGGTGGTGGTGGAAGACAGGCCCATCATCACTTCCTCCCCTCGCTCGCCGCCGATCCTCAGTGGAGCCCCCGCCGGCGGCGCCTTCGGTGCGCCGCCGACGGGGGCTCCACGTCGCGGCGGCGCCCCCGCCGCTCTCGAGGGGCGCCGAAGGGCGGTCTCCTTGGCACTGCTCGGACGTGCGCATCTTGCTCGGCTCGGAGACGGAAGAAGGTACCTATTCTTGTTACCCTTCGCCCGCTTTCCCCTTTTGGGGGCCTCCTGGGAGGCCCTCGTCGCCGCCGCTGGATTCGCTTCGCAAGCCTGGTCAGAGCGCAGCCTGGGAGAGGTCCAGGGAGAGGCGGCATCGGTGCCTTTGAGTTCCCCTTGACCTGGTACCCATCGGCAGTTGCAAGTGGGTGATTTTGGATTCTTAGGTGCCTTCCTGCTGCAACCAGCGAGCGTTTTCACCTTTGCCTTCCTCTTTGGAGGGCGATTGGAGACCCAATCTGCAGTCGAGCATCTGATTAGGAAACCTCCCCCCGAAAAGCTGGGCCAGGGTTTCTCGACCAGCTTGCGCAGCAGCTGGCCCAGCTTCTTGAGCGCGTCCGCCCCTCCAGCGTCAACACGAACACTTGACCCACGCTTGTCTTGAACAACATCCGGAAAACCAGCCCAGGCGTCTTGAGTGATTATTGTTTGACCGCGTTTCCAGCTGCACTTTCAACGCCTTCCTGCTTTGTGCTTCTGCCTACATCTTTCGACCGACCTGGTACAGTGGGACGCGCATCATGAAACCAGATGCGCGTCGTGAGGGCACCCCAGGTGTCTTCCCTCCGCGCGCTACGCGGTGGCTCCCAGCGGCCGTGGGAGGAGCTGCTGCGTTCAGGGTGCTCCGGGCATCCCCCTGGGTGCACCTCGCTCGTGGATTTCCAGGGCTGGGTTTCTTGCGAGGGTCACTTGCGACCGCGCCCGCACTGTACGCTGATGCCTTGTCGAAGGCGGCGCGGCTGCGCCGCTCCGCCCCCGCCGGCGCCTCTGGTGCGCCGCCGGCTTAGATGACTTCTCTCAGAAGGCTCGGGGACGCCCGAGCCTTCTGAGAAGGCCCGCCCCTTCTCACTTGATGGGCCTGCTTTCCACCACCACCACCATACATATGAGGGGGGAGGGGCTCCTCCTCCCCTTCGTCTGCTTCCTCCTCCTCCTCCTCCTCCTCCTCCTCCTCCTCCACCTCCCTCCCCCCCTCCAACTTGTGGTGGTGGTGGTGGAAAGCAGGCCCATCATCCGCCGCCGCCGCCTCGCTCGCTCGCCGCCGATCCTCAGTGGAGCCCCCGCCGGCGGCGCCGCCAGCGGCGCCGCAGGTGCGCCGCCGACGGGGGCTCCACGACCCCAGGCCGCGGCGGCGGCCTCGCCGCGCTCGGGGGGCGGCGAGGGCGGCCTCCGTGGCACCGCTCGGGCGTGTGCGCCTGGGACCACCGAGGCGCCCGCCTCCCCCCCCTCCTCCTCCTCCATCTCCTCCTCTCCTCCTCCATCTCCTCCTCTCCTCCTTCATCTCCTCCTCCTCCTCCTCCTCCTCCTCCTCCTGCTCCTCCTCGTCCTTCTCACCCCCCTCCCCCTCCCCATTTTCTGCTCACCTTGCGTAAAACTGCACGCACGACACCGAACAGTGCACATAGAATGGACGTCCGAGCGATGGCAAGGTCTGCCCATCACGCTCTAAGAGCCGGCCTTGCAGGACCGCCCAGGGTCCGCTTCGATGCGGTTCGGTTCGCTGGCTGGGGGCCGCGACTCTTATTCGGTGCGATCTGGCTCTGGTCACGGGCATCGGCCAGGGCCAGCTGGAAACGGGGCGCGGCGATTTGATAGCGACCTGATTCGGGACGATGCGCTGGCGATTCGATCCGCTCTCGATCCGATCCGATTTTCGCAGGCCTAGAGGTTGACACCAACACCAAGATCGGCGGCGTGCCTCCACCGAGGGAAGACGATCCCGATCTCGGTGATGGTGGTAGTATTCTGGCTTCCAAGGTGGCCGAGATATCACCACCACCACCGAAATCTGGGATCATCTTCCCCCGGTGGAGGCAACCCCCTCCCGTGTTGGTTGGTGGTCCCCAAACGTGGTGGTGAGAACACCCGGTGGTGAGTTCTGGGCGATTTGGGTAATGGTTTTCGAGCGCTGGCTGGCCCAGGAAACGCAACACCTCGTGGCGACCGCGTGTCCCCACACCCGGTGGTGACCCAGAATTATTTTTTGGGGGAATCGGGGTCACCACCGGGTGTCTCACCACCTGGTTTGGAGACCACCAAGTTTCTGGACGCCCGGAATGGGTACTGAAAGAATGGGTACTATGCCCAACAGCGGATCTTGTTCATTTTGAACAAGATCCGCTGTCCACGCCGCCGCGGCTTGTGTCCATTCGAGACAGGAGGCCGCCCGCCCAACAGCGGCCGCTGTTGGCTTGGGACAACATTTGTTGTTGGGCATGTTGCCCATTCTTTCGGTACCCATTTCGGGTGTCCAAAAAGTTGGTGTTGGTGCCCGTTGCCCAGATCTCCGAGACCTCGCGATCCGACCCAGCGCAGACCTGCCCCGTCGAGCAGCTCGGGCGCCTCTGCCGCCGGGGTCCGCGGGCGCCTCCCCGCCCTGCGCGCCTCCCCCCCGTCGGCGTCGGCGCCGAGTCTGGCTGGCCCACTGCGGCGCATCACTTGGGAGGGGGCAAGCATTGCAAGTCTGGCCGGTCCCTCTCAAGGAGGAGCACTCAAACATACAAAAAAATACTCCGGGGGCATCTTTTTTGTATTTTTTGGTAGTCCGGGATATTTTTAGAGCATTTTTATTTTTTCGCCCAACAATCCCTCTGTAGGGGGACACGCCCGACCTAAGGCGAAAACGCACAGACCCAAGTAATCGTCGATTCCCAAGAAAACATAGCAGAAACATGGGAAGTGGGTGGAAGAGGAGAGCCTCCCCAAATACCAGAAGATATGGGGGACCCTGGGATTTGTGTGTAGTTTTTTGTGTGCCCCTGGGCCCCTTCGATCACGCTCCACCACGCCCTTCTTCTGGCTGGGCTCCGACCGCGCTCCCGTGGGCTCGCGCCGGGGCGCGGGAGGCAGGAGCACGTGCTGCAGTTCTGGCGAAGCACTGGCCCGCCTCCACCCCCATGCCAAGGGCAGTTCTGTCTTTTGTGTGTGTATTTCTTTGTGTGTCTGTGGGCCCCTTCATGCGTCCAGGACTGCTCGGCGCTCCCGCCGTGGCCTCCCCGGCGTGCTCTCCGCACGGCTCGGGCGCAGCGGAGGGTCTCTCTCTCTCTCTCTCTCTCTCCATGCCAAGGCACTGCGAAAGCACCAGAAGATTTGCTCCCCGACTGAACGTGCGCAGGCGACTGCCTGGAGCGGACCGGGCAGGCGCGAGGACGTCGGGCTCCAGGCCCTGGCACTGCCGCGGAGCAGCGGCATCCATCCGGTTCCTTGTGAACCTCAAGCACTTGAGCCAGCATGGCGAGGAGGAGGAGGAGGAGGAGGAACAGGAGGAGGAGGTGGAGGAGGAGGAGGATGAGGAGGAACAGGAGGAGGAGAGCCTCCTCGCGCACCCCCCACCCCCTCAGGACTCCTCCGAGCAGCCGGTGGTGATTAGCGACGTCGAGTCCGACTCGAGCTCGGAGGCGCCCGCTGCCCCCCATCCCCCGCGCGCAACGAGAGATCGGCGCGGCCGCAGGGGCGGGACGGCCAGGGGTCGGGAGCGGCGGGGCGGAGCGGCCGTTTGGCGACCTTGCCGCCTTGCGTCGGTGGGTTCGGCGCGGGCTTGCAGCCAGAACGCATGTTCATGCGCGGGCTGACAGCCAGAGTGCATTCGCATTTCTTCCAGGGTTTCTACGTTCATTCCTATTGTGAGGAATGCACTGGCAGTTTCATTTGCATGCAGCTGCTACCACCACTACCCCCACTACGACGACGACGACGACGACGACGACGACGACTACTACTACCATTTCTACCACCGCCACCACCACTACTACTATTACTGCTTTTACTTTTACTATTACTACTACTACTACTACTCCTCCTCCTCCTACTACTACTACAACTACTACTACTTCCATTACTACTACTACTATTACTACTACTACTACTACTACTATTACTACTACTACTACTGCTACTGCTACTGCTACTGCTACAACTACTACTACTACTACTACTACGACGACTACTACTACTACTATTACTACTACTACCACCACCACCACTACTATTACTACTACCACTACTACTACTACTACTACTACTACTACTACTACTACTACTACTACTACTACTACTACTACGACTACTACTACTACTACTACTACTTACTACTACTACTACTACTACTACCTACTACTACTACTACTACTACTACTACGACTACGACTACTACTACTACTATACTACTACTACTACTACTACTACTACTACTTCTTACTACTACTACACTACTACTACCTACTACTACTACTCACTACTACTACTATCTATTACTACTTTACCACCTACAACTACTACCTACTACTACTACTACTTTTACTACTCTATTACTACTTACTACAACTATTACGATTATTACCATCGTACTACTAGTACTACTACTACTACTACTAACTACTACCTACTACTACTAGACTACTACTACTACTACTACTACTACTACTACTACTACTACTACTACTACTACTACTACTACTACTACTACTACTACTACTACTACTACTACTACTACTACTACTGCTGCTGCTGCTGCTGCTGCTGCTGCTGCTGCTGCTGCTGCTGCTACTGTAATCACTCCTACTACATCCACGACTGCGACTATTAGTACTGCTATTGCCACTGCTGCTGCTAGCCATGCCATCTCGACCCCTACCACTCTTTTGATTATTCGTCACCACCCTTTCTAAGGTATGGAGTGGTGGTGGTTGTGGTGGTGCGTTTGTAGTGTTGTATTGCTGTTGTGCTGCTACTGCTAATACGACCACCCCAGTCCTATATATTACGACCGCTTCCATCGCCACCGCCATAACTAGGCCCCATCACCACCACCACCTTGTCTGTTTCAGTGGGTGGTGGTTGTTGTGCATCGCAGAGCTACTCTTGCTACCCCTACTACTATGACCACTACTGCCCACTACCAGCACCAACGCTATTGCTACTGCCCCTGGTACCACTGCTACGCTTACGGCCGCTACTACTAGTAGCGCTTCCACTGCTACTTCTACACCGAAAACCACCACTTCCAGCACCATCGCGACCACTACCAGTACTCATTTGCCTCCACGATTCTGTTTGGATCGAGGGGTAGTGGTGGTTCTGGTCCTGCCTGTGCTGTCCGTTCTCTTTTTCGCATGGGCCATGCCATTACCACTAACACACGTATTTTTACTCAGACTACCACATCCACCAGTACCATTGTGAGTCCTACACCACCACACTATTTACGCCATATGGGGGTTGTGGTGGTGGAGAGGTAGCGCTCCTCACTCTTCACTCCTCCTCCTCCCCCTCTTCCTCCTCGTCGTCGTCCTCCTCCTCGCTCTCCTCTTCCCCTTCCCCGTGCCATTCTCCTTCTCATATCGCCACCCCTCCCACTCTTCACATATGAACAATGAGAGGAGGAGGGGAACGAGGCGGATGATGATGTTTGGTCGGATGGTGATGATGACGGTGCGGAGGAGGGGGAGGGCGAGGAGGAGGAGAAGGAGGAGCGATGGAAGCAGGAAGAGGCGAAGGAGGAATAGGAGGAGGACGAGGAGGGGGGCGGAGAAGGAGGAGGATACCGCCATGGAGCATGATGGGAGCGATGCGAACGGACAGTGGGAAGCAGATGAAGGGATGGGCGGATGAGGGTTCAAGTTGGCACCATCGAACCACAAGGCAAAAGGGTATGCTACTGGGGGGGCGATCATACATGCATACATGTCTGCATGCATGCATGTACGCATACAGCACACAACCGTACGTACATACGTACGTACGTTCGTACATACATGCGAACATTCATACGTGCACACATACGCGTACACATACACATATGTATATATACAGGTATGCACACATACATACACACATCCATACATACATACGTACATCCATACATACACATACACACATACACACATACGTACATACATACAAACATGCATACACACAAACATACAACCGTACATACATACCTGCCTTCTTGCCTACACACATACACACAACTACATACGCACATATGCATACACACACGCATGCGAGCGTACACATATACAGACAGCCAGACAGACAGGCATACATACATACGTATCGGCATACCGGCATATACACATACACACATACACATACCTCCATACATACACAAACTATGCATACATCTGTACATGCATACAGACATACACACATACATATACACATTCATACACACGCATCTGTACACATAGTTTACTGACATGCATGCATACATACATGCACACATACACACGTATGCACACTCCTACACCTACACACATACATAGATCCATCCATCCATCCATCCATCCATCCATCCATCCATCCATCCATCCATCCATACGTACGTACATACATACATACATACATACATACATACATACATACATACATACAGACATACATACATACATACATACACACATGTATACATGTATGCACACACACTTACATACACACATACACACATCCACATATACCCATGCAGACACCCACATACATCCGTACATCCAGACATCCATGCTGCATGCATGCATCAATCCGTCCATCCATTCATACATTCATACATACATTCATTCATTTGAGGGAGTTTCTGTGGAACTACTGTCATCCTCACCCCCGGCGCGGTGCCCAGAGGAGCCCAGAGCGGCCTCCGGCACCGTTTCCGGACAGATCCGCTGGATCCGGTGACGAATCCCAAACCGGCGCCCTCGCTTGAGACATCCTCACAAAACCGGCCCCGGGGGCGGTGCCCAGAGGAGCCCAGAGCGGCCTCCGGCACCGTTTCCGGACAGATCCGGTGGATCCGTGGATCCGGTGACGAATCCCAAACCGGCGCCCTCGCTTGAGACATCCTCACAAAACCGGCCCCGGGGGAGGTGCCCAGAGGAGCCCAGAGCGGCCTCCGGCACCGTTTCCGGACAGATCCGCTGGATCCGCCGACGAATCCCAAACCGGCGCCCTCGCTTGAGACATCCTCACAAAACCGGCCCCGGGGGAGGTGCCCAGAGGAGCCCAGAGCGGCCTCCGGCACCGTTTCTGGACAGATCCGGTGGATCCGGTGACGAATCCCAAACCGGCGCCCTCGCTTGAGACATCCTCACAAAACCGGCCCCGGGGGAGGTGCCCAGAGGTGCCCAGAGCGGCCTCCGGCACCGTTTCCGGACAGATCCGGTGGATCCGGTGACGAATCCCAATCCGGCGCCCTCGCTTGAGACATCCTCACAAAACCGGCCCCGGGGGAGGTGCCCAGAGGAGCCCAGAGCGGCCTCCGGCACCGTTTCCGGACAGATCCGGTGGATCCGGTGGATCCGGTGGATCCGCCGACGAATCCCAAACCGGCGCCCTCGCTTAAGACATCCTCACAAAACCGGCCCCGGGGGAAGTGCCCAGAGGAGCCCCGAGCGGCCTCCGGCACCGTTTCCGGACAGATCCGGTGGATCCGGTGGATCCGGTGGATCCGCCGACGAATCCCAAACCGGCGCCCTCGCTGGAGACATCCTCACAAAACCGGCCCCGGGGGAGGTGCCCAGAGGAGCCCAGAGCGGCCTCCGGCACCGTTTCCGGACTGATCCGCTGGATCCGCACGAATCCAAACCGGCGCCCCACGCTTGAGACATCTCCACAAAAACCGGCCGGGGAGGTGCCAGAGGAGCCAGAGCGGCTACGGCACCGTTTACGGTTCCGGACAGATCCGTGGATCCGCCGACGAATCCAAACCGGCGCCCATCGCTGAGACATCATCAACAAAAAGGCCCCGGCGGGGTGACCCTTGAGGAGCCCTGAGCCTGGCCTCCGGAACGGTTTCCGACAGATCCGTGGATCCGGTGGATCCGCCGACGAATCCAAACGGCGACCTCGGCTTGAGACATCCTCACAAAACCGGCCCTGGGGGAGGTGCCCAGAGGAGCCCAGAGCGGCCTCGCACCGTTTCGATCCGGACGATCCGGTGGATCCCCGTCGAAATCCCATACCGGAGCCCATCGCCCTTGAGACATCCTCACAAAACCGGGCGCCGGGGGAGGTGCCCATGGAGCCCCTTGCGGCCTCCGGCACCGTTTCCGGACAGATCCGCTGGATCCGCCGACGAATCCCGAACCGGCGCCCTCGCTTGAGACATCCTCACAAAACCGGCCCTGGGGGAGGTGCCCAGAGGAGCCCAGAGCGGCCTCTGGCACCGTTTCCGGACAGATCCGGTGGATCCGGTGGATCCGCCGACGAATCCCAAACCGGCCCGGGGGGAGGTGCCCATGGAGCCCAGAGCGGCCTCCGGCACCGTTTCCGGACAGATCCGCTGGATCCAGTGGATCCGCCGACGAATCCCAAACCGGCCGCCTCGCTTGAGTCATCTCACAAAACCGGCCCCGGGGGATGGTGCCAGAGGAGCCAAGAGCGGCACTCCGCACCGTTTCGGACAGATACGGGGGATTCCGCGCACAGGGGGAGGTGCCCAGAGAAGGAATGAGGAGGAGGAGGAGGAGGAGGAGAGGAGGAGGAGGAGGAGGGAGGTGGAGGAGGAGGGGAGGAGGAGGAGAGGAGGAGGAGGAGAGGAGGAGGAGGGAGGAGGAGGAGGAAGGGTGATGGTAGCTGTGGGTGTAAGGAGGGACAGGACGGAAGACAAAGAGAAGGATGAGGTGGAGGAGGAGGAGGAGGTAGTGAGGAGGGGAGGAGGAGGAGGCAACCGGCCCTCCGTACAAGAAGGAGGAGGAGGAGGTGGAGGAGTAGGGAGGAGGAGGAGGAGGAGGAGGAGGAGGAGGAACCTCATCCTCACCCTCGCCAACAAGCGCACGCACCTTCTTCTATATACAGAAACTCCCGATCAACCGCAGAGCGGCCGGCTAGTATGCAATCTTATGGCCTCCAGCCCATCCCGCCCCCGTGCCTGGCTTGTGGGTATGGGGCCTATTGGATGTTCGTTGGGATCTCGTGGGAGGCCTCTCGGGGGCCTGTTGGAGGCAGTTTTGAGGCCTCTTGGGGGACGTTTGGGGGCCTCTTGGGGGCCTCTTGCGGCCTCATGGGGGGCCTCTTGGGTGCCTCTTGGGCGCCTCTTGGGCGCCTCTTGGGGCCTCCTGGGGGCCTCTTGTCTTGAGGCGGACGAGTCGAATTCTCGGTTCGTGCTCCCTCTTTTGGGCCCCTTTAGGGGCCGTCTTGGGCGCCTTCTGGGCCGTCTTGGGGCGCTCTTAGCTCGTCTTGGGGCCCTGTTGGAGGCCTCTTAGGTTGTCTTTGGGTGGTCTTGCGGGCCTCTTGGACCGTCTTGGAGCGTCGGCAAGCAGAAAAGGCGAGAACGCCCAAATTCTTCAAACACCTAAGGGAAATTAATGATGGTTGCCTTGGACCCTCTTGGGAGGCCTCTTGGAGGCCTCTTGGGCCATCTTGAGGCCATCTTGGCCCTCTTGGCCCGTCTTGGTGCCCTCTGGGCCTCCGAACAAGTCATGCGAGAAGATGCTGAGAACCCCAGGGGGCACGCGAGACGCTCGGGGAGATTTGAGAGCGAGGGGTCCGGGTCTCTGAAAGCATCTTTGGGAGTGAGGAGTAATGCTCAGATGATTAGAGGAAGGGCCTGAGGACACGCCCACTCCGTGCTCAAGGGCACGGTGGCGGATTATATGTATATCTGATCCCGGGCTCCGGGTTCACGGCCCCCCCCCAGATGGGATGGGTCCCAGGGCTCCACGGCCCCCCTCCCTGATGGGACGACGGCATTCTCGCCGAGGCCTCTTGGAGCATCTTGGGTGCCTCTGGGGGGTCTCTCGGGGCCTCTTGGGAGTCTCTAGGGGGCCTCCTGGGGGCCTCTTGGTGGCCTCTTGGGGCCATCTTGGGGCCATCCTGGGACCTCTTGGGACCTGGGCGCTTCTTGGGGCCATCTTGGAGGAGATCGATCAAACAAGAGCGGAGCAGTAATTAGCGTCCCCCCCCCGGGAGCATGGGGCCACATCCTAGTGAAACCAATGATTTTGGCTTCCTCGCCGAGGTCGTTTTGGCATTCTCGCCGAGGCCTCTTGAAGCATCTTGGGTGCCTCTGGGGGTCCCTCGGGGCCTCTTGGGGGTCTCTAGGGGGCCTCCTGGGGGCCTCTCGGGGCTTCTTGGGGCCATCTTGGGGCCATCTTGGGACCTCGTGGGGCCTCCTGGGCGCTTCTTGAGGCCATCTTGGAGGAGATCGATCAAACAAGAGGGGAGCGTCAATGAGGGTCGCCCCCCCAGGAGGCCAACATGGGGCCAAAACCATAGTGCAATCAATGATTTTGGCTTCCTCGCCGAGGCCGTTTTGGACGCTCCGACGACTCGCGGAACCCCCTTGTCCAGGTCCATGGGGAGGGGGTAGGGGGAGGGGTAAACCCCTCCCCGAAGGGGAAGAAGGAGGGGTGGAAGAGGAAACGCTCCAAACCACCGACGCCCAGAGGGCTGGTGGGACTCTCTAAACCACTGACGCCCAGAGGGCTGGAAGGATTCTGAGACCCCCCCCCAGGTGGCGGTAACAAGGGCCCTTTTCGGCTCCCCCCCCCTGGCGCGGACTTCAGCAATTCACAGGGGGAAGCAGAAAGCAGGACTATCACACTGGAGACTGGAAACTGGAACTGGCGCAGGAAGCAGCAAGCCTAATCCGCAGAGCCTGGTTGCCCCACAAGGGGGCCAGCGCTTTTGTATATGCTCCCATGATGCACGGTTGCTCTGTCGATGAGGCGTTGCTGTGCGCGCAGCACATTGTGAGGTCACCCCGAGTATGGCATCAATGTCTGACGCAAACGTCAGCGTGGATGGACGGCCCGTGGGTCAAGTTCCCCGTTGCCCGCGGTTCGCCTCCCATGTCCAGTGCAGATTGCAGGCCAGGCTCTCTTGCAGCTTCTTCTCCTGAAGCGGTTTCTGCCTCCCCCTCCTATCTCCCCCTCCTTCGGATGCAACTCCTGGGAGGTCAAATTCTGATTTTGCCCTGGTCCGAAGTCCGGCTTAATCCGGCATAATCCGGGTTAATCCCGCTTCATCCCGCTTAGTCCGGTTTAATCTCCCTTAATCCGAAGCCGACTCGGCGTAACAGCCCCGCAATGGGGCTTAATCCTCCTTGATCTTTCCGACGAAGACCTCCCAGCAGTTGCTTCCTACCTCCTCTTTTCGATGATGCTCAGAACGTGTGTTAGCCCAATGTGTGCTTGCCCCGTTCAGGTCCGCCGATGGCGTGCAGGCGCGCAGCCTGTGTCGGCCCTCGTTGCATCACCTGCGCCACAGTGCAGGCCATCGGTGGACAAGAAGCACACGCTGGCGCTAGCACACGCTCTGAGGATCGTCGGTCCTTCCTCGTCCCTCTTCCTTCCTTCCCCTGCTGTCCTCTGCTGGCGTCAGAAGCCGGGCGGAGGCTGGCAAACCCGTGGCTGCTCAAACGGAGTTCCGGGACATTGTCTTGTTTTTCTCTTCCGGGAAGCAGCCTGTTTGCTATTTGGTGCGTTGAGCTTTATTCCAGGAATCTGTGTCTCTTCTTCTGGGAAGACCGTTTCAGCAGCCACGGTCTCCGAGCCTCAGTTCCAGCCAACCCCAATCCGAGCAACGCTTCAAAGGGAGAAGGAGAAGAAGGAGGAGGAGGAGGAGGAGGAGGAGGAGGAGAACGAGGGGGAGAAAGAGAAGAAAGAGGATGCTTGTCTGATATCTCTCCCCCCCCCCAGCTTCCCAGCTCTCGCCCAGCCTCCGAGTTCTTGCTGGCTCCGCCGCCGGGCGCCCGCGGGACGGCCGAGGCCCGGCTCCCCTCGAGGCCGGGTGCGGGGTGCGGGAGTGGAGGGCGCGAGGCCCGTCGAGGGCTTCGGGGCGGGCGAGCGAGAAGGCTCGCAGGCCTCGGGGCCGACAAGGAACACCATCGCGGGCGATGTTTCTCCCCCAATCCCCGAGTTTCGCCCGAAAAGTTTGGCCGCTCAGAAAAATGGGAAAACCCTGGGATGCACCCCAAGGGGGCTATTCGGACGCACCCCTATCGAGGATGGACATCCCCCCCATCGTATATCCCAGGGTCGGGCCCAAAATTTCTGGTCCATTCGGAAACCCCACGAAGCCTGGGATGGGGGTCGACACATCCCCTGTGACACCAGCATCGGCGGTGTGCCTCCACCGAGGGAAGAAGGTCCCCATCTCGGCGATGGTGGTACTGTTCTGGCTTCCAGGGCGGCCGATATTTTTTTCCACCGGCACCGAGCTCTGGGATCCTCTTCCCCCTGTGGAGGCCCCCCCCCTGTGTTGGTGTTGGTGCCCATTTCCAGGCCTCCAGAAGACGTGTGCGAAGCGGTGCGTGGGCTGCTCAAGCCCTGCGCTGCCCGGGCAGAAGGGCCAGAGAGCAGCGTGGCCGTCAAGTGCATCAGTATCGTTTAACCGATCCCCATCCCCATCCCCATCCCCATCCAGACCCCGAACATCTCAGCACCCTAGTTGGGGATGTGCCCTTCGAAATCCCAAGGAAACGGCCTATATCCCCATCTAGGGCATTAAATCGGCCAGTGGGGCCCAGCCCACGCTGGTGGGGATGGAGATCGGCTAAACGATGCTCAGTGCAGCCTTCGCCGCAAATTGATATCGCATGCGTTCGCCTCGGGCAGGGTTGAGTTCAGGGAACCCCGCTTCCGTCACGAATCAGTGGCAGCATTGGAAGCATTGCCACCAGCCACGTCGTTTTATTCGTGTTTCTCTCTCTCTCTCTGTCTCTCCATGTCTCTCTCACTCTCTCTGTCTCTCCATGTCTCTCTCTCTCTCTCCCTGTCCAGCGGAGCTCACTTGTGGCGAATTGCCCAGAAGCGCATGCCGAGGTGGTCTGCTCAGTTATCCCACCCGACGGCCTGGGCAAACTGATTTTGAAGTTTTTTCTGAAACTGGGCTTGCCAGCCAAGGGCGCGGTCGGACTGCATGCATCAGGGCCATCAAGTGCAGCGCAGGTGGTACGACAGGTTCGCACCGCGTCGTCGCGGCGAGGGTTGATCGTTCTCGGCGGCCTGGATCAGGCCAATCGTGAGCGACAGCTGCTTTCGTGTAGTAGCGATCGCTTGAAGTTGAACGATCTGTGCAGTGCCCAGCACTAGCGTCCAAGCCGTCAGAGCCAGCAGCAGCGAGCCGCCGCCGACCCCCAGGGCGAGTCGGACTCGGTGGAGACCGGTGGGGCCGACGTGGCAAGTGCCAGCACCGTCGATGCCAGCTCCATCGAGGAGGACGACCAGGAGGACCGCCAACGTTTTTTTTTTTTTTTTGTTCTCTCCTTTTGTCTAGCCGCTTTCGCCTTGTGGCAATGATGGAAAGGGGTCCCGAGGCTCTCCAGACAGTGCTTGCACTCACGGTTCCTCACTTCCGTCCTGAGGAATCGGGCTGGTGTGCCGCTCAGGCGGCGATGCAGTCGCCGTCGCCGCCCCGTCGCCTCCCGTCGCCTGGGCAGGTGTGCCGCTCTGGCGGCCAAGTCGTCGCCGTCGCCGCCCCGTCGCCGTGTCGTCGCCGCCCGCAGTCTGGGCTGGTTGTGCCGCTCTGGCGGCTGTGTAGTCGCCGTCTCCGCATCGTCGCCGCTTCGCCGCCGCCTCGGATTACACAACATACCTTCTCCTTGCCAAAACAGTATTAGGATTCACCACCCCTGGAATCAACGGCCCCCGTTTTCGCATGGCACACTACACGTGTTTCCGCCCCATCGTCCACCTGGAATAGGAGTTCGTATCGTCCCAGGCAAGCCAGTATCCCCCCCTCATTCTTTTCAACAAATGTCATGCGCGCATTCGTTTATCACAAATCACTAGTATTCAATAACCCTTGCAGAAGTCCGGACGAAGTGCACACGCGCGCGTCGTCGCGCGCGCATGCCGAAATTCTTCAAACATTTTAGGTTTCGCAACGGGTTCAAAAGCGAGTGCCCCGACAACATTTAAAACACATGCTTTCGTTACAGTAAATGTCACAACAAGCTTGCCCTCGGGCTCTTGCGAATTCTTGAGGTAACCATTGGTTGTTTCAACATGTTCATAACACGCTACCAAGCGGGCCTCTCGCGCGCGCATGTCGGAATTGCTCGAACGCCAGTGCGCCCGTGTTGTCGCAAGAATCCCTTGCAACAGATGAGACGAAATGCACTCGCGCGCGTTGTCGCGCGCGCATGCCGACATCCTTCAAACACCTTGCGTTTCGCATGGTTTTCAAAATCGAGTGTCACGAATATCTATAACACAAACACATGGTTTGACAACATCAGTTTTCAAAATCCTGCGCTCGCGCTCCTGCGAATCCGATCCTTCTCATTCAATTCGGACAAACGGGCCCTTCGCGCCGCACGTCGCAATCCTTCGAACGCGCGCCTGCCAGGGGGGCAAGGGGGCCAATCCGTGGCAAATAATACCATGCGGGACGCTCTCGCGCGTCGGCCGCGTGCGCATGTCGAATTCCTTCCAACACCTTCATCACCGACGCGACGGCGCCGTCATCGTCGTCGGCGTGATCAGCATCGGCGCCGTTATTGGCCTTGCCGTCGTCGTTGCTATCATAATCACCCGCATCGCAGGGTCCGTTTGGATTCTTCCGATTCGATCCGATCTATTGCGATGGCTTCCGATTCCGTTTCGATCCGGCTTGGGGTTCCGATGTGGATTCTGGTCTCCCCATGGAGGCCCGTTAGTTTGCCGATGTCCGCCGATTCGATTTCTCTTGGCTCGGCTGCCGAATTCCGCCGATCCGATCCATGTCGATCGCCGAGCAAACGTACCGATTCGACTCAGGGCTCCCCTGGATTCGTTACCATCCCCGCTGGGAAGTGCCCAGAGGTCAGCGCCACCGCGCCCGTGTTGGTCGCGCCAAAGTAGCTGGCCGCTGCGTGCGCAAGCATGCGCGGCTAGCGCGGCCGCAGAGATGCACCAGCCAACGCCAAGCACTCATCGCAATCGCCGCCGCGTGGGTTTTGCAAACCAAGTTGCGGGTGGGTGGGCGGGATGAAGGGCGAGCAGTGGAGTGCGAGCAGAAATTCGTTGTACCGCCGTGATACTCCTTGCGGATTTTGAACAAAATCATTGGTTTTAATGTGTTTAATAAATTCTGCCAAACGAATTTCTCTCGCCGCATGTCGATCGAACTCATTGAAACGCTCTTGCGCGCGTGTGTGGGGGGGGGGGGGCGCGATCCGCGACAAATCATATCGCGCGGGCCGCTCTCGCGCGTCGGCCGCGCGCGCGTGTCGAACTCCTTCCAAAACTTTCGTCGCCGACGCGACGGCGTCGTCATGGTGGTCGGCGGGCGTGATCAACATCGGCGCCGACATTGGCCTCGCCGTCACCGTCGCCGCCGTTGTCGCCATCGTCGTTATTTCCATAGTCGAGCCCGCCGTTGCCGGCGTCGCCGCGGTGCCGCGCCCGCCCACGTCAACTCGCACTGAAGGCGCCCGGCGGTAGCGCCGCCGCGGCCGCGTCGGTCGCGCTAAACTAGCTGGCCGCTGCGCGCGCAAGCGATGCGCAGGCCTGCGCGGCCGCGGGGATGCGCCGGCCAGCGCCAAGCACTCATCCCAATCGCCGCCGCATGGGTTGCGCAAGCCAAGTTGCGGGCGGGTGGCAGGGGTGCTTGCGCGGGCATGGGATGTGTCAGCTCGTGTGCAGAAATCAATTGCACCTTGTAGATTGCGCCGCGCTGGTTCTCGTTTCCAGAAGAGCATTCGGATCGACCCCCCTTTCCTCCGGACTCAACGGTCCCCCTTTTCGCATTGCAGTTCGCATGTGATTCTGGCCCGTCGCCCGTGCTGAATATGGATTCGTTGCATCCCGGGCAGTCCAGCATTGGTTCCCCCCCTCGCCCTCTGCCAAACATATAAAAACATATCAGCCGTTTTCCAGAACCCCTTGCAACAATGGAACGAAGACCACGCGCGCGCGTCATCGCGGGCGCTTGCCGAAACCTTTCAATCGCTGGGTTTCGCAAGGATTTAAACATCGAATGTCCTGAACACGTGTGCAAAACTGCTGGCTTTGCATCGGCAATTTGCAGAAAAGCTGGCGCGTGGGCTCTTCCGAATTCTGAAGCAAACCACGGGTCTTGCAATGTGTTCATATCTTGCTGCCAAACGGGCATCTCGCGTGCGCGCGTCGGAATCGCTCGAACGCCCTTGCTCGGGTACTGCCGCCAGGATCCCTTGCGCAAGGTGGGGCGACAAGCAGGCGCGCGCGTCGTCGCGTGCGCGTGCCGATATCCTTCGGAAGCCATCGGCTTCGTGCGGATTTCCAAATCGATTGTCTCGAACACGCAGAAAACATGCATCGTTTTGCAGCGCCAGTTTTCGGAATTGCCAGCGCACGCTGTCCTGCGAACTCTTGGCGAACCATCTGCTTCTTCGTCGACAGTTTCACGCGGCTCTCCAAAACAACGGGCCCCGCGCGCCGCGCGTCGGAGTCATTCGAACGCCCGTGCGCGTGTGCTAAAAGGGGGCGTGATCCGTGTCAGATCATACGCGCGGGCCATCCTCGCGCGTCGGCCGCCCGCGCATGTCGGGCTCCTTCCAAAACCTTTGTCGCCGAGGCGACGACGTCGTCATGGTGATCGGGTGGTCGTCGTCGAGGGTGCCGTCGTCGTCGTCGGCGTGGTCAGCATCGGCTCCGTTGCTGGCCATGCGTCGTTGGTGTCGCCATCGTCGCCATCGTCGCCAGCATCGCCACCATCATCATCGCGTCTACTGCTGTCTCAGTTTTTTGTCCGTAGCAGTCTGGTTAGTGCCAGCCGCCTGGCCTGGTCTGCTGATAGATGTACCTCGGTCCGAAGCTCAGGGGAACCGCGCGCGTGATAGTGGATAGGTATGTTACAAGTATCTTGCGCTCGCCAGTTGGATATCCAGAGCTCTGTCGAGCCCGACGGCCGCCAGTGGTTCCAGAATCGGCGCGGGCACCCAGCTTTGGAACCACCATTTTGTGAAGACGTCTCGGAGTGAAAGGCCGGGATCCGTGGACAACGCGCTCCACTGGCACCCCTGGGGGGGCGCCTCTCTGGACTTCGGAGGCCTGCGTGCGGGGGTCCTGCGGGAGAGCTGCGCGGGCCCCCAGAGGCCTCCAGGGGAAGGCGCGAGGAGGGCACCGATATTTGGAAACCCGGAGAGATCACGACGGTCCCCGGGGGCCCTCCTGTGTCGATCTGGGTCGAAAAATCACGCGCGATGATCTGGTCGGGCGGTGAGCTGTTCATGATGCTTGCTCGTCTCTGATGTTTCACGTCGTCGGGCATCGGGGGAGGAGGTTTTCGCTGGTTTCCTGTTGCTTGGGGGGGCGGGGTCCAAGGCTTTCGGAACGCATGGGTTGCTGCTGAAGGCTTTCGGTGGTACGTGGACGATTCCAGAGGAAGAGAAGCAGAAGGGAAAGGAGGCAGGGGGGATGAGGAGTGTCGAGCACCCAGGACCATGCGCCACTCAAGCGTCAGGTGCCCACCGATGCAGGGATGTCCGCCTCTGCTGCCGAACGGGGTGGGATGGCGCCTTGGGAGGTCCTCCTCCTCCTCCTCCTCCTGGTCTTCCCGCTGGTCGTCCTCCCCTCTCATCCCCCTTGCCGTCCTCTCGGTCCCTGGTCCTCCTACTCAAGTCGGGCCTGTCCTTCTACAGGGGGAATATTAAAATAGTCTGGGGACGATCTTCCGAGTATTTTTGAATATTGTTGGCGTGCTGTTTAACTGTTCAATTTGTTCGTCCAAGAGCCGCCTGTAGGGGGACAGGCCCGACCTAATCCGACTCTCTCCTCTTACTCCTTGTCCTTCTTCTCCCTATCCTCGAACGCTGCTCCTTCCTCCCTCCCTCCCTCCTCCTCCTCCTCGAACGCTCCTCCTCCTTGCTGCAGCCTCGAACGCTACTCCTTTCTCCCTCCCTCCTCCTCCGTCTCTGGGCCTGCGGGGCCCCCGCGCCAGGGGGCTGAAAGCGGCGCTGGGAACGCGGGTCGGCGTGGCGCGAGAGGGGTCGGAGGTCAGGATATGGGGCGAATAGTCCTGGGGAGCGCAGTACATGTATCCAGGTGCGCCGATGATCTATGTATTCGAAAGGGCCCCCTGGCGAACACGTGTAATGCCCGCTCGTGGGCTATTCGCGCTTATCGTCGCCGCCGATCGGAGGGTGGCGGTGATCGAGGGTTGCACCGAAAAGCCGGCGAAGAGCAGTACATAATGAACTGTTTCGCCATCAGGGAGCCCAGGGCGGCTGGGAGTTTTGTGTGGCAACAATTTGTGTATACATATGTATAGATACACATTTATACATATGTAGAGGTATATCACATTATAGTATGCTATGTTATAATGTATAATCTTATACGATAGTATATACTGTTATAATATACTATACTAGAATACAGGATTTCATATGTAATTACATCATATAATGTTTATTCCATCATATGTCATTATAGGATTTCACATGGTATCATGTTATAGTATAGTTCAATCTGTTGTAGCAGCTGGTATCATATCATATTATATCATATCACATCACAGTTTAACCACATTACATTATATTATATTAAACTATGTGGTGTTATTGTGTATGGTCTTGTACAATATCGTAACCTAGTATATTAGACCTTATGATCTTATATGATATCATACTATGTGGTATTACATCATATTTCATTTTGTTATATATTACCATATGATATCAGATGGTACCTTATTGCGCCATCTTATATGTTAATATATTATATGGTATTCATTGTTATCACATGATATCATGTGATCTTCTATGACCTGCAATGATAGTATGGGATGTTTCATTTTTGTATATCATATGATATGTTGATATTATATTGGATTACATCGTGTTATATTCGAGTATAGTATATCATATGATTTTGTAACATCGTATTTATATATCGTAATATATACGCATAAATTTTATTACATGTTATCATGATATTTGGTATCATACGATATCCTATGAAGTCATATGGTGTAATATGGTATTGTATGGTATTATAGGATACTACATTATATGTTATTATACGGTATCATATAGTACTATATTATATGGTATTGAATTCTTTACGCTTCGCGTATCCCCACCAGCCCATCTCACAGCAGCAACTCTCGCGAAGCATGCCAACAGTCGTGTTTTTCAGGCGTGTGTCCGCTTGGCCCCGCATATCTCCCCTGTTCCTCCTTCCTCCCGCCTCCTTGTACATCCTCCTTGTGGGGGGAGCGGGAGAAGGACGAGGCGAAGGAGGAGGGAGAGAAAGCGCTCCTCGTGGTTTGAGTCGTTTGGGGTTTCTCGTCCTGGTCTGAGTCGTTCGGGCCCTTCTTCCTGGTGTGAGTCGTTCGGGCTCTTCGTGGTGTGAGTCGTTCGGGCTCTTCGTCCTGGTGTGAGTCGTTCGGGCTTCTCGTGGTGTGAGTTGTTCGGGCCCCTCGTCCTGGTGTGAGTCGTTCGGGCCCCTCCTCCTGGTGTGACTCGTTCGGGCTCCTCGTGGTGTGAGTCGTTCGGGGCCCTCGTCGTGGTGTGAGTCGTTCGGGCTCCTCGTGGTGTGAGTCGTTCGGGCGCCTCGTCCTGGTGTGAGTCGTTCGGGCCCCTCCTTCTGGTGTGAGTCGTTCGGGCTCTTCGTGGTGTGAGTCGTTCGGGCCCCTCGTCCTGATGTGAGTCGTTCGGGCTCCTCGTGGGGCCTCTTGGGGGCCTCTTGGAGCCTCGTGGGGCCTCTTGGGGGCCTCTTGGGGGCCTCTTGGGGGCCTCTTGGGCGTCGTGGGCCTCTTGGGGGCCTCTTGGGGGCCTCTTGGGGGCCTCTTGGGGCCTCGTGGGGCCTCTTGGGGGCCTCTTGGGGGCCTCTTGGGGCCTCTTGGGGCCGCTTGGGGGCCTCTGGGGGGCCTCTTGGAGGCCTCTTGGGAGCCTCCTGGGGGCCTCTTGGGGCCATCTTGGGGCCTCTTGCGACCTCCGCAGAAGCGCAAAGGAGAGCTGCCCCCTGAGAAGGACAAAATGAGCCCAAAACCTTCGTAAAATCAATGGTTTTGCTATGAGGGAAGAGAGGCGCGGCCCCCTCAGGAGGCCAAAATGGGGCCAAAACCGTAGTAAAATCAATGATTTTGGCTTCAAAGAAGAGCAGAGGGGCCAAACTCTGCCCCCCCGTCGGGGCCAGAATCCTCGTGAGGGTTGTCGTTTTTTGCCCCTCCCAGGAGTCGAAAAAGACCCCCTTTAGAACACCCGGGACTCCCTGTCCAGGCCCAGGGGGAGGGGGGAGGGGGAGGGGTAAACCCCTCCCCGAAGGGGAAGAAGGGGGGTTGAGGACAGAGCGGGCTCTCTAAACCACTCACGCCCAAAGGGCTGGTGGGATTATATGATGTATGTACATCTGTTCGCCCAAAAAGGTGGGACGGATGACGCTCCTGGCTCAATCTAGAAACGTGACTCCTGGCGCCATGAGCCAACCACGGCGGAAATTTGTTTCTGAGTTTGAGCCTCTGGTGTGGTCTCCTGAGGCCCGGAATCATAGAACAGGTTCCCTTCGAGTGCCCAGCAGACAAGTGAATCATGTCGTGCCCTGGTGCCGTCGACATAAAAAACCCGCGACGAGAAACCAGCCCTGGAGATCGGATCGAGAGCACGGGGACCCACGTCGCGAAAGAAACGCTACGCTTGAGATGCTGGGGCAAGGACAGGGGGGAGAACGGTAAGGGAACAAGGGGCGACTCCTGCTGCCTTGGTCGGGAATGGGCCCGCCCGTCGCTGCTGTGGGACCGCTCTGGGCCCCTCCTCGAGGCTCTCGTGGAGCAACTCTGGAGTCATCTGGGGGCCCGTTTTGCCCTGCGCCCCCATCAGCAGCCCGCGGTCGACCAGCAGCTGTCGACCGAGGAGCAGGTGACAGAGCAGCCGCCGGCCCGGGCGCTGTCGCTGCCGCCACAGACGCCAGACCCGCCGCCGCATCCAGCCCAGGCTGTCGTGTTGCTGTTTCGCCCCCCCCCACCGCCTCTCTCTGTCTCTGTCGACTACTCTGAGATCACGGCGCGGGCGTTTTCGCCAAGGGTCGGGCCCCGGGGCCCTCACAGATCGATCCGGCTCGAACAATGACGCGGAAGATTGGTGCCCAGGGTTCTGGCTGTGATTTTGTGGGATGTTTTTTTTCCGCTACGTCTGATCTCAGGGTGCACGCGTGCGTCGCCAGGACAGGGCACTCGGAATCCCCCCAGAAGCTGCTGCGCCACTTTTGCTGACCCTTCTACCGTCCCTTATCTCTACCCAGTGCCCCCCCCCTCTATCTTCCCCTCTTTCCAGAGGGGTGGGGGCGGGAAGGCAGACGAGTAGGCGCTGGTGTCTCGCTCCGAGCTGCGGCGGCTGCACCGAGCACGGGCGCCGAGGGCACACTGACTGCTGCACAGCAGCGCAGCGGGCCCGCATGCATCGCCGACGTTATGCTTGTCCGCGGCGCGTGCGGGATGTGGGCGCGCACGGCGTACTTAACACCTGCGCACTGCATCCGATCGGTGCGCACGGCCCGCCGCCCTCCTCGCCCCCGTCCGCTGCCAGAGTGGCCCGAGTGCACGAGCGCTCGGGCTGTCCCGCGCGCTCGGTGCGGAGCAGGCCGCTCGGCAGCTTTGCCTGGCAGCCTCTTCGGTTCGTGCCGAGTCGGCCTCTCGTTCTCGGTCTTCCGCCGGGGCCGCCCAGATCTTGGTGGATACAGTGAACATCCACAGTAAGGACGGGTAACCTTCCCAAGGGCTCCCTTGCGTCTTCAGATTTTTGTCGGCAGTGCGCCGCTGAAGAAGCTTCAACTGGGGCGTCCAAGGACCGTCCAAGGATCTTGCGTCCTTGCAGCACGTCCTTGTTCCAG